AGAGGCTGGGAGGATGGAGAGGCTGGGAGGATGGAGAAGCTGGGAGGATGGAGGCGAACAGGGAAACCAGGAGGCGCGTGGGATGTGGGGATGGATCCATGCTGGACGGTTTTCTGTTACCTGCTCTTATGTTCAGGTTGGGCATCTTAAACACTTTGCTGGCCTTCTGGGAGGTGGGCTCCTCCGGTTTACCAGCGGGGGCCTGGCTGGGGGGGGTCTCTAGCTCAGCCTTGCTCTTCTGGGGGGAGGCCTGGGTGAGGAGGCGGTACGAGCTCTGACTTGGAGCTTCTTGTTCAGGCTCCAGAGGTGAGGCCTCCTTTGTGGGCGGAGCTACAGCCGTGGGAGGTGTGTCCTTCAGGGTGAAGCCGAGGTCATCGTCCATGGGGATCTCAGGAGGCTTAGGGGAGGAAAACTTGGATGGATCCAGAGCTTCAAGGAACTCGTCGATGACGCCTCGAGGCGGTCTCTCGATGAACTCGAACTCCTCAGAGGAGACTTCATGCTCAGACACCTCCTCGGCCAACTCTGGTTCCTCCATCTCCATCTTCAGGTCTTGCTTCTCCGTTTCTACCTGGAAGATGGCTGGGTTCTTGGCCATGGCCTCCAGGACCGGGGACAGGGAGTCTGCAGTTGGAGATTCAGAGTCGGAGTCTTCAGCGGCGGTCTTCTTGCTCTGGAAGTCGAGCGGCTCAAACCTTTCGGCCTTTTTGGGAGAGTCATTGCTTGAGAACCAGTCTTTCTGTTCAATCTGGACAGACTCCTCCTCCTTGACCTTCACCGGGGTGGTCTCCTTGGCCTCTTTGACCAGATCGAAGGCTCCAAAGCTTTTCTCATCGGCCTTTGTATCGTCTCCATGCTTGGACTCCATCTCCTCAGCCATCTCCTTCAGCAGGGACACTTTGTTGTCAAAAGCAAACGGGTTGTTATTGGACAAGTTAATGGGAGGGTTTGGAGACTCCATCATCCGGCGCTCCAGGATGGGGCTCTGTTCCTCCGGACTTCCCTCAGATGACCCTGAATCAACCTTTTCTGGGTTTAGAGGGGAAGACTTCAGGATGTCTGGAAGCGAAGGTGGCAGAACAGAGTCCTCTTCACCTTCTTCACCCTCATCTTCGTTAAGACCAGAGGAGAACTGGTTGCTTGGCTGCATGAGGGACTCACTGGCTGTCTTAGCGGTCTCCAAAGGCCTCCCTACATCTAGGATAGATGTTTGGTTCTCCTGGGGCTCTCCAAAGTGTCCAGACTGAACCAGATCTGGTGTGGGACTCTCCGACATTTTGGAAGCCCTGGTGTCAGAGTTGGACTCTCCAAAATGGGAGTATCCACTGTCGGCCAGAGGAGAATAGCCCCCAAACGGGTTATTGTTCTTCTTCACCTCATACATCAGGTCTTCATCTTCATCAGACTGGTTGCCACAAACATCAGGGTCATATCTGGAGGAGCTAATGGGCGGGGCGTCCTTGCTGAAGGAATCCATGGAGACCTTGGAGTTGTCTTGCGATGAGAGGAATGGTGAATCCCAGTGTTCTGTTGGGTTAGAGGAGGTAAGGTGAGACTCAGGAACCTTCATCTGGGGGTTGACAGGGGAGGGGCCGGTGGAGGACCTGTCTGAGCTAACCAGCTTCTCCTCAGGCGAGAATGAAACGCCGCTGTCTTCACATGGATTATGAGGGCCTGGGTCTTTCCCTAAACTCAGGTAAGGACCAGCTAAGGAATCTAGGTCTTCTTTAGTTTTACCACGACCCGGTCCACAGTCGACTTCTTCAGCCTCCCAGGACATTTCCTTGGAGAAAGTACTTGGGGGTTTGGGGGAGAAGGAGCCCAGGGGTGCAGCAGATCCTGGCGGAGGGGGCTGGTTCGGACTCTCGGTCAAAGACAGCTCTTCCAGAGAGTCGGGTGAGTGGAGAGGGGAGATAGGAGAGATGGGGGCGGGGGAGTCACCCTTCTGCCCAAGTTCTTGAGTAGAGAGGGAGGAGGGAGAACGCACACAACACATATATCAAAAACATACTCCATTCCTTACAGTGCCCACCACACCTGGGTAGAACAAGGTCAAGCAAAGGTTTCACAGAGACCCGGAGGTCCGAACCAGACAAAAGCTTCGGAACATTCGCCAACATTCCTGCTTTTCCCAGAACAGAACCAGGGGAAGGGAAGGAAACAGGGCAGTCGTATTCTGATGGATCCAGAGGAAACCAACTAGTTCTTCCTTCAGCTAATCTAGATTATCACAGATGTATTCAAAGACTATTAAAAACAGGAAGGACTCTGATCTCTGGTCGTCTGCTCTGGATCCAGACGATTCTGATTGTAAGGAGCTGGTAGGTCCAGAACCAATAAACCAGACAGGATGGTATCTGGAGCGGGGTGCTAGGTCCCTCAGGCAGTAACTGGACCGTCCAACACTGCGGTGTTACACACTGATCGCTATTTATTCACTGGATTGCTGATTGCCGGAAGAAGGGAAGTCACCAGCTGCCATCTTGGTACTCCCCACTCCCACGCAGTAAAATGCCTCCCTGTGCAGCATTTAGCTGCATAAACCAGCAGTTTTCTGTCTGCAGGAAGACGTTCCACTGGTAATTTCCCAGTCAGTGGATGAACTAAGCAATAAATCCATCTATAGCGATGGATCCTATAGTTTAGTCTGCAGACTAACATTAGTCTGCAGACTAACATTAGTCTCAGACTGACTGGAAGACATTGACTGAGTTAGCCACTGACATTGGGTCTAATGTTAGAAAATAGAAAGTAGAGGAAATAGAAAGTAATTCACTGTGAAATATTAACGTAGTAATTCTTTATTCAGTGGATGATGTCGTTTTTGGAACGTTTGGTTTATTTCTCATTTGAAAAAGTCGTGAAATATATTGCAGGTTATATTGATGAAAAAAAGCAACTCAAACATTTTTAAAGGCTAATGCACAGACAGCATAAAGTATATGGCCTCATTCATGCATATTATGCAAATGGAAAATACTATGACACTAACAGATGTAGTTGTGATTCTGTCTTGATGTAAAATTGTTAAATTCGATGTAAGATATTATAACAATAATGTAATAAATACATGTATATTACAGGTACATCATCAATTAAGCACTTTTGGCTCATCTGTATTATTCTGCAGCATCAACACATTAATGTTATTGTGATTTATTTGTATAATATGTTATATCACATGATTTATAGACTTCATTGACGTCATAATGACTCTGCAATGTGTTAAAGTTAATCTACTGATGCTATGAAACAGCCAGTCTGTGTCAAAGTGATGAATTTATCTTTATTTTAAAAGTCTTCTGTCCCTGAAAATGAGAACATCATGGTTTTTTGATCGATTGTTTACATTGAGACCGGTCTATATAGGGAGTACCAACATGGCTGCCATTTTTTTCATTTCAACCCCGTACTACCAACGGGCAATCAGCAATCCAGGGAATAGATAGAGATCAGTGGTGTGACTCTGACCTGCAGTCAGCCTGCCAACGCTGATGATGCGTTTAGGTGCGGATGGATAAATGATGATTCTCTGGTTGCCTGCAGCCGGGTGGAGACACTGAGGAACTGTCCACAGTCAGAACCTCTGGGTCCAGACATGCTCAGGCCAACTTAATAATGGATTTATAAAGTCTAACCTTTGCTTTCAAAGACTCTCTCTAAGGTGTGACCACCCAGCTCCAGCTTTCCTGTTCAGCTGTGACCACATTCTCAATGACCAACCAGCTCCCTGCACGGTGAATCAGTGCCCCCCCCCCCCATCACTCTGGTCCTGTTTCTGGGATCATCAGGGATGAAAAGCGTTTGTCTGGTCGGAACGCGGCGGTGAAAGTCTGTGCCAATAATCCATGCAGTGTCAGACCCAATGATCCGCCTCATTAAATGCTGCCGTCTGGCTGCAGTCAGGGAGGGGGGGTCAGGGGTCGTCTCCAATGCAAACCAAACAGTGCTGAAGGTCAGCAGTGAAGATGCTCTCAGTCTGCATGCAGTGGCTTTATTGGCACTCAGATGGACAAGAAGCAGAAAAGCAGTGAGGAGAAAGGACTTGCCTGTAGGGAACTGCATCAGAAGATGAGGCTGAGCTTTAGGAGGAGAAGATACATCTGTAGGAGGAGACAGGAGACAGAGAGAGGAGCAGGAGGTGAGGCAGGAGGAGGAGCAGAAAAAGATCCATGCATCAGAACAACATCTGAACAGGTTCATCAGAGATTAGCATCAGCGCGGTCAACCTTTGACCCCTTTCCAGTTTCCAGCTGAAGGAAACACGGTAATCAGTCAAAGATGGCCGATTTTACCCAACGAGGGCAGAAAGGTTGATCTTCAGGTAAAACCAGGAAAAAACAGGGAGCTTTTATTGTGAAAAGCTGCCAGGCTCTCTTCCTCTCAATCACCAGGGAAACTTCCTGCTTCCGGCTCTCAATAAATCTGACATGTTGTGCTTTTATTTTGAAAACAGGAAGTGCAGCGACAACCCTATTATCTCTGGAGGATGACCAGCAGAGACAGGATCAGCTCCTAACAAGCCGTTACCATGCCGACAATCAGCGAATCAAACGCCCCCTTTCCTGATGCTAAGCTAGACCGGTACGTCGTACAGTTACCATGACAACATGTGAGCGCCTACAGCCTGATCCGCTTCAGGCGGGTCAGAACGTCTGACCACCAGAACCAGAGTCCAAACGGTCCAATAAACAGAACCAGACCCAAGCAAGCAGCAGAGCAGGGGCGGTTCAAATGATGTCACTTCCTGTGTGCAGCGCCCCCACATGGAGAAATGCTTCATCAGCAGCTCTGCAGACAGACTGGAGGCGACCCGACCCGACCCACTGAGACTGGACAGAACCAGCCTCAGACCACTGGCACCGATGTTACATCATCCTCAGGCTGGAGCCGGGATCAGACCGCCGTTACACAACCAGCACGCCTCAACAGGTTCTGACACCAACCGGGTCGGGTCTCAGCTGCTGGGTGTGGTTCCGGTTAGACACCATCTTCTCCTGTGATGCGTGTTAATGCAGGCTGGCAGAACCAACAGAACCACAGGTTTTAACGGCGTCATTGACACGTTAGAACGGCTCATCTGGACCTGCAGAAGTTCTGATCCGATTATTTGGTTTGAAAAAAAAAAAAACAGGTCTTTGAAAAATCTGTTTCTATGCGTCAGAAGTATAAATTGGCCTTTAGGAACCAGACAGAACCCTGAGGAGTTCTGATGGACCTCAGGTCCCGGATCAGAGGCGGTTCTAATGCAGCCCAGACTAACGGATGGTTCTGTTGGGTTTATCCAGAACCTTCGGGACAGATTCACCTCTGTTTTACATCAGAACCTTCGACCCGACTGCTGGTTCAGATTAGATCTGGTTCGGACCGGTCTCAGAACCTCACCCAGGCCTCCATCAACTACTGGACCTGGTACCAGAGGAACCGGGTCTGCCCGCTGAGAATGAGCAGCAGCGGTTCTGTTAAAACTGCAGCAGAACAATGGAACTTTTGGTTCTGGTTCTGGTAATTCTGTCATTAAGGTCCGGTTCTGATGGCCCAAATTCTGCCTGATGATGAAAACCTGCTTCAGATCAGGACGAAGGCCCAGAACCCTCCTCCTCCTCCTCCTCCTCAGGGCGGTTTGGATCAGAGCCATCGGCTCAGAATCGGATTAGCGGCTCGACCAGCTGCTGTCTGCAGCACTCAGACAGAACCGGGATCACTGGGTCGACCCGATAGAGAGGAACACAGGCAGATGGGTCAGAACCTGACCCGGTTCTGAACCAGAACTTCAAAGTTTCTACCGCCTCCTTACAGAACAGGGACTTCCTGATCAGTTCTGAGATGATCCAAAGGTTCTGTTCGGACCGGCTGAGGTTCTGTTTGGACCGGCTGGCCGTCTGAGGGTTTCAGTCTGTTTATTATGGATCGATTATAGATTACAGATAATTAGAAACCGGATCGACCGGTTTAAAAATGGTGGCGCTCAATCAAACATCATTTCAGAAATAATAAACATGTCATTAAATGTTTAGCAAACGTTACGCTGTAGCTACCAGATCTGCTCGGGGCCCCGCCCCCTTCTTACATCATCAACACACAGCAACTCCACTCAGACAAACTCAAGTGCACCCGTTTCTTCACATTTATATCACGGTCTAACAGTTACTTTGTTCACCGGAAATAGATTTTTCAGTTTTGTCATCAATCAGGTAAAACTTTATCGGTCATTTGACGTGCTAACGCTACAGACGCTCGTGCTGCGTGATGTTATCGTTGTCAGGGCAACCACAATGTTTTACCTCATGTGGCAACGTTCAGCCAATCATGTCGCATAACGTTAAATCTGATTGCGCAGCTACCGACTGCTGATTGGTCTCCTGAAGAATGGAGACAGCTGATTGGTGGAACGAAGCGAGAGACGCCTATAAAAGATGACGACTGATCGTCATTCCTCTTCTCTTCAGGTCCCAAACAGCCACATGTTGCACCTTGATGCTCTGAAATGCTGTTTATGGTTGAAGTGAGGAGGCTTCAGGAGTGAATCGCTGTTTATGTCGCTTTATGTTTTCCTCCTGCTTATTCAGGAAGGAGAGTTTTCTTCATTTGGTTTGATCTATTTCCAGTAGGTTAGTGTTGATTCCTTTTGTCTGTTGTTTTCAGACTTGCTTCAGTCTAAAGTCTACTTTCCCTCCTCTGTAACAGAAGTGTGGAAATAAATCCTTTTGGCAATATACTGTGATTTTTGGCTGCCTGATATCCATCTTTTAGTTCCTAGTATAGATTTTTTTAAAGCAAAGCATTTTCACCTAAAACTGAGGAAAAATGGAATCCCTTTTTTTTCCACCAGTCTGGCAGATGGCGCTGTGGAGCACTTTAGCTGTAGCTAAATACCTACATATCTGTAGCTATGCAGTGATGAACATATGCAGGTTGCTTTTTTATCTATACATGACACGTGACACGTATCGTATCGTGAGCCAATACTCATCCCTCCTCCGTTAGCAGATAATGTGTGGATCTATTTTTATCAGCAGACTTCCTGCTGGAGCTCATCCTTGTGGTTTTTTGGATTTATTAAGCATTAGGATCATTAATATGTTTTCCTCTAAGACAGGTCATAACAAGGAAGGAATTAGCTTTTTATTCTTTAATCCAAAAATAATCCCAACATTTAGTGCAGGTTTAGACCACAGAGCAGCTTAATCCAGTGAATTCATTTCCATACATTCACTGGAAAAACTATTAACCTGCTCAAAAAATAAAATGATGTCCAGAAATCACATCTAAAATATTTGACTTCACAGAATCTGACTTTAATCACTTCTAATGACCAGATTATTTTATGTGGACAATAATTCTGCACTTCACCCAACTTTAAATTTTTGTTCCAAACTATTTTCTGAACATTTCAGTTGAACCAAACTAAAATATTGAAAATGAACCTAATGTAATTACTTTTAACTAAATTAACATGATAAATGTTTGTATTGACACCAGTTAACTAACTTAAATATAAACAAATTGGCAAGCGGTAGCAGTTAGCATCCGTCGCTAACATGCTAACCACAGCAGCCCTCCTACTCTTTAAAACACTAGAGGCTCCTGCTGTCAGTGACGGCGTGTTTCCAGCATTTAACTCTAAACTCCACTCTGAACCTTCAAGCAACGATTGTTTAGCTCTGGATGGAGCGCAGCTGAGCGAGCGAGGGCTTTTAGCTAGCTACCATTAGCGACTAATTGTCATAACATTATCAGTTAATGCATAAACCCTCTCAGACGTCAGCTAGCTAATATTAACTGGTTAACTAGCAGATATAATATTGATTATATGTAACTAATTTGCTACTTGTGTTTATTTATGGGCAAAATCCACCCAGGATGTAGAGACGATGAAAATGGCGAACTTGTTCGCATGCTCTGACTGCAGCGTGCAAAGCGCGACTCACATGGGACACAAAACAACCTGCAGGTCATGAATAAATATATGCATATTGAGAGAAATTAAAAACTTTGTTTTGGGTCCTTTATTCGTGTATTTAGTTCAGGTTAAATTAAACTTGATGTCTCAAAATCCAAAAAGAATGAGTTACAAAATCAATCAATTATTTTATCCAGTTTGCAGTGAGTCTGAATGAACACATGTTGAACTTTTTCTGTGTTTGAGTTGAAGTAACAACCTATGTGAGATCCATCAATAGATCAATCAATCAATCAATCAATCATCCATCCATCATCTCTGCCAGCGGACAGCAGCCATCACCGAGAATCTGAAAGCTTTGCATCAAAAACAAGCAGAGAAACACGGATGGGGAAACCGAATCTGATGCAACACCGGTGTTTGGTGAAACACTGTGCACCCAGGTCGTCATGGTGACGATCAGTACATGATATGTTGATGAAAAAAGGAAGAGTCACTTTCACCCGTCCTCTGCTGACTGGAGGTTAATACTCAGTCACATCCAGACCGTTTCAGACAGCAGATAGAAAACAATAATAGAGTGTATTTACATCTAATGTAGATAGAATTTGGTTCTGCGTATAAAATCTGTGGTGATCAATCAGTTATCTGGAACATGTTAAACGTGGACTTTAACACGGGAGAGGCGTGTGGCTCATGTGATTTAAAAACTTATAAAGAACGAATAAAGCAATAAAAAAGTAGCAGAACTTTGGCTGCAGGATGGGAAGTTTGGACAGAAAATAAAAAACGTTTAGCATGAAATGAAACTATAATCTGAGAATATCAGCAGAGCGTAGATCTCATCCCTTTATTCATCTGTTAATATGATAAAAAAAAAACTTGCAGTGTTTTTAACCTGATTTTCATCATGAAACATGCTGAATCAGCTGCTTCCGTCTCCAAGGTAACGACCCAAAATAACCGGAATCCTTTTTTTTTAATTAACATGAAGCAGGTTTAGTTAAACTGGGACCATTCCCACTAGACTGGATTAAACCCACAGGGTGTGCTTTTGTTCTGGCCTTCCAGCCCCACCCTGTCTGCATCTCCAGGAGGATCTGAGGCCTGCTCAGCTTCATCACCATCATCATAATCATCATCATCATCATCATCAACAACAACAACAATCTGACACTTCTCTAAAATAATCCAGACACTGAGCTGAAAGCTACACATCTGAGCCCAGCCAGGCCCCTGCAGCCGGACCGGGCCTGGTTCCGGTGGGGGCCTGGTTCTGGGGAGGCTGGTTCCGGGGCGCTAACGGGGTTCGGTCTGGATGGAGCTGTCAGAAGGAGCTCCATCCCTCCGCCTGCGGGGCAGGCTGAGCCGGGAGTGCGGTGCTCCGTCAGGGAGTGGACTCCCAGCGGATTCCTTTGTTGTGACTAATCTGGGCTGGGCTAACCACCGCTGCTTCCATTATCGGACACGGCCTTGTCTGCCCCAACAGCCGAAAATATGTCGATTCTATTTTAAAAAAAAACAAATTAAAAAACAGATATAAACCTGAAAACAAAGCAGAGCCCACCCAGCCCCTCCTTTATTAGGCTGACACCAGTATAGACCAGTACAGCCCCAGTATAGGGGGCTGGGAGCGGAGCGGCTATATTAGGAAAGTAGCGCAGCTCAGACACCTGATGAAGCGCTTTTAGCGCATCTCTGTTGATGAATAGCACGTTAGCTGCTGTCCGATAATAGACCTCTGCTAGGCAGGACCGCTAGCGGCGCCAGAGAAAACGGTCCAGAATGACACCGGTACCGGAGACAGAACCGGTTAAATCCACCCGGTTCTGGTCTCAGCTGCTTTTTATCGGTGAATTTAGCGGTTCGGCACCGAAACATGATCCGGTCCGAACCGAACAGGTGGGCCGCATCACCGCAGCGACCACCGAGCTACAGGCTGCTGGGAAACCAGAACCAACCAGAACCTCCGGAACCAACCAGAACCTCCAACAGTGGTTCCGATCAGCGGGAGTTCTGGTGGAATCTGGCGGGAGGTCGTCGGACCTGCTGCCGGCTCAGAGCGACTGCTCCGCGGGTGGAGCAGCATCACCGCCCGGCTGCTCACCGGCAGCAGAAAACGGTTAAAATTCGGTAAAAACCGGAGCCGCTTTCATCCAGCACCCCGGTTCCGGTGTTTCCCCGCAGCTGGGCTCCATGTGCCGGTAGCTGGGTTCTGGTTCCGCCCGCTGATACTCACATGAAGCCGGAGCGGCTGGTCCCTGTGTCACCGCGGGCTGCTCTGCTGCCTCTGCCGGGGATGGCGCTGCTTCCCGGGCTGCGGGCGCTGGGAGGGCGTCGCTCTGCGGGGCAGGGGGCTCCACCGGGGGGGACGGACCCGAACCCAGTTCCGAACTCTCCGGTTCGGCCCTGGGGGCCACGACCTCTGGCTCTTCAGGAACAAAGGAAAAGTTGGTGGAGTCTGGGACTGCTTTCTCCACCAGGGGTTCTGGTTCTGGTTCAGGTTCAGGTTCTGGTTCCGGTTCTGTGGAGGTGACGGAGGGCTCCTGCAGCCCGCTCTCCCCCTCAGCCCTGTGCCGCTGCAGGGCGTCCTGGGCCCCGCCGATCAGATCCACGATGTCATCCGAACTGAACAGGTCCCGTTTGGACTCATGGTTCTGCTGAGGTTCTGGTTCCGGTTCGGGTTCGGGTTCGGCCTGGTAGTGGTGGCCCTCGCTGAACAGAGGGGTGCTGGTAGAGACCTGCTGCTCCTCGCTGTCTGCCATGTTTCTGTCTTTTTTTTTTTAAAGTTTCTCTAAAAGTGTAAAAAGTTTCAGTTCCGGTGGTTTCCTGCTCTGGTTTCCTCCTTCAACCGAACCGGGATGAGAAAAGTTTTGGACCGGCTCTGGTTCGCCTCCCTTTGCTCTCCGAACCGAGTCCAAGTGCGCCACGCCGCAGCAGCTCCTCACTGTCGAACCCGAGCCTCAGGCGGCCACTGAGAAAGAGAACTTCCGCTGACCAATCACCTGCGGCCTGACCTCTGGCTGACATCTGCTCTGACCAATCACATCCACTGAAGTGGGCGTGGCGAAACCTGGCACCGCCCTCTTTAAACCCAGGACAAAAAATGAGGAGGAGCAGAAAGTTGAGAGATTTTGGACCCTGGTTCTAGTTTCCTGCTCCGATTGAGCAAAGAAAAGCGTCACATGTTCCAACACAGCAAAGCCTGGTTGGTTAGAAGATAATAGCCACAGTCACAGTCAGCACAGAGGTGGTGGAGTGATGCTTTGGGCCTGTTTAGCTGCTCTGAAGTCAGCAGCTCTCTCTGGGTCTCATTGCTCTGCTGGGTGAAACCCAGAGAAGCAGAAGTTTGGAAATCAGTCAGAAGGTTTCATTTAGCAGCAGCAGGACAGATTTCCTGGTTTAGCAGAGATGAGTAATCACAGAGTTCCTCAATGCTGCAGAGAAATGCTGCATTCAGGGCACCTGGGAAATAAAAAAGAAGTTTAACCTTCTTCAACCTGAGCTGTAATCAGCAACACCATCCTCTGCAGTGATCGATAAAGTTTCCTCTGATGTTCCCTCAGGGAGGAGCAGAGGAGCTGAGCTTAAGGTTCACGAGGAGGAGCAGGAGGCTGATTACAGCTCAGGTTGAAGAAGGTTAAACTTCTTTTTTATTTCCCAGGTGCCCTGAATGCAGCATTTCTCTGCAGCATTGAGGAACTCTGTGATTACTCATCTCTGCTAAACCAGGAAATCTGTCCTGCTGCTGCTTAATGAAACCTCCTGACTGATTTCCAAACTTCTGCTTCTCTGGGTTTCACCCAACAGAGCAATGAGACCCAGAGAGAGCTGCTGACTTCAGAGCAGCTAAACAGGCCCAAAGCATCACTCCACCACCTCTGTGCTGACTGTGGCTATTATCTTCTAACCAACCAGGCTTTGCTGTGTTGGAACATGTGACGCTTTTCTTTGCTCAATCGGAGCAGGAAACTAGAACCAGGGTCCAAAATCTCTCAACTTTCTGCTCCTCCTCATTTTTTGTCCTGGGTTTAAAGAGGGCGGTGCCAGGTTTCGCCACGCCCATTTCGGTGGATGTGATTGGTCAGAGCAGATGTCAGCCAGAGGTCAGGCCGCAGGTGATTGGTCAGCGGAAGTTCTCTTTCTCAGTGGCCGCCTGAGGCTCGGGTTCGACAGTGAGGAGCTGCTGCGGCGTGGCGCACTTGGACTCGGTTCGGAGAGCAAAGGGAGGCGAACCAGAGCCGGTCCAAAACTTTTCTCATCCCGGTTCGGTTGAAGGAGGAAACCAGAGCAGGAAACCACCGGAACTGAAACTTTTTACACTTTTAGAGAAACTTTAAAAAAAAAAAGACAGAAACATGGCAGACAGCGAGGAGCAGCAGGTCTCTACCAGCACCCCTCTGTTCAGCGAGGGCCACCACTACCAGGCCGAACNATCAGTGGTTCTGAACTCAGTCTCTCTGGATCAATGATCGGTTTCTCAGGTCGGATCAGAACCAGACGGCCCGTTAGAGCTGAGTCAGTCTGGAAGTGATGCAGCAGGAAACCAGTCATTCAGAGAGAACCAGGCGGGCGTCAGTTGGACAGCCTGAAACCCAGCCTGAACGGCGGCCATCTTGAAAGAAAGTTTGAGGTTAAAGCAGTTCTCTATTTTTCCATCCAGTGGTTGTTCCGTGTGTTTGCAGGCCCAGCTGCTGCAGGCCGGTTATCTTTAGTCTCTCAGCAGGGAGGATGAGGATGATGGAAGCTGCTCTGATTAGCAGCCGTTGCCTAGCAACCCGTGGTCTGTTTACAGCCTGGGAGTGGGTTGGTACCAGACTAATGAGCTGCAGAGGATCTAAAGTCCAGCTCAAATTATTTTTATGATGTTGGAGTTTCCAGCATGTTTCCTCACCTCTCTGATCACGTGACCAGGCTGGACCAATCAGGAGAGAGCAGGTGGACCAGCCGGTCCCCTGCAGGCCTGAGGGGTGAGGGCGACCTCACCCCTCAGGCCTGCAGGGTTCAGCTGCTCATGTGACTCTAACTTCCTGCTGATGTTCAGAGACCTAAAAAAGAACCAAACCCAGATCTAAACCAAACAGAACCAGAAAGACAGTTTGGTTCTGAGGTTAAATCATCTCATAAAAGGATTAGAGGAAGATTTAGTTTGATTTCTGGACTAACTGCCTGATTTATTTCCTCCATGGCTCTAAAGCTAGTGGAAAACAGGTCCAGAAGCAGAGAGGGAAGAGTCAGAACCACCTGAGCCCTGAACGGGAAACAAGTCAAACAGTCGTAAATATTTTAAGTTTTGAAGTTCAGCTTTGGACCGTTTTTATCAGAACCAGGGTCAGTCCCGGTATGAAGCATCTAAACTGGACCCGTCTGTCCTTCAGGTTCTGGTCTCTTTTACCTCCAGCAGAGGAAACTCAAAGCTGCTGCATCATGTCTGATCAGCTGCTGCTGAGTCACCTGCTATCAGCTGCGCCTCTGCTGCCTTCAGGGGAAAAATGGTGAAGAGATGTTAGATTCTCCTGATGAGTCAGAACTGAGACCAGAACCTGAACAGAACCAATTCTGGGTCAGCCAGGAACCAGCTTCTTGGGACAGACTGATGGTGATCTATGAGGCAAACTGGTTCAATGAAAAATAATAATCATATTTTAATTCAATTTAAAAATAATGACATCTTCCTCCAGTAGGGGGCAGCTCTGAGCAAGCCCAGTTTCTTGTACAACCCAGTCTCATGGGAAAATGTCTCTTGTAGGTTGTGTTGGTGAAGATTCCCAGTCATCCAGGTCAGAGTCATTCCTAAAAAGTTTAAAATCAATCCTCTGGACTTTGTTTCCAAGTTTGAAGACGTTTCTCTTCCATCCAGGAAGATTTTTCAATTCAAAATGTCAGAAATAGCGTTTAGTTCCAGGTTTTATCCAGCAGCCCAACAAAGCCTGGTTTTAGTTTCGAAAACATGCAAATAGAAACGGATGAACGGGTCCCCCCCTTTGGAATGGGGGTCGTTAGGCTTCTTTGTTAGCCTGCAATGCCCCATACCTGTCTATGTCTCTGAAAGGGGGGTCGTTAAAGGGAATTGTCATTAAATTGTTTAATTGGGACTCAGGTTTCAGTTTTCAAAAACCTACAATTCAGCAATAGAGCTGATTCCTTCCCCTATAATTGCAACGTCTTTACAGGAGAAACAGAAGACCTAAGGATCATTAAAAGGTCCAAAACAAAACCAACATCAGCCTCAAATAACATCAGAACCAGTCTAGACCCGGTCCAAATCTATGCCCTGTTTACATCTTCACTTAGCAGCTAAACCAGTTCAGAACCAAATAAAAGAGAGAGTGTAAATAGATTTCTGGATCGGAACAGTGGATCGAGTTAGAAGTGTTTCAGGGTTCTGTCCACATCCTGATCCGGTTCTGGGTCACTCAAACAGAACCGGATCAGTCCTCATTCCTGCTGCCTCCTCAGTCCCGTCTGTCTGCATTCATCAGATGTTATCAGCAGCAGACGGTCAGAGAAGAGACAGGAAGTGATGTCTTAGATGGTTAAAGCAGACTGACAGGCTCACAGAACTGAGATGAAATCCAATCCTGAACTGGTTTCAGAGGCCTAACCAGTCTCTGGGTTTCATCTGACTGGGATGAACTCATAGAACCACAATGTGACCCGTGGGTCGGTTCCGGTCCGTCTGGATCCACTGATGCCTGCATGGATCCCATCAGGATGGAACCGGCCTCCAGGTCCAGGCTGTGAGGGACGGGTTCTGATCTTCAGATGCAGCAGGAGTCGGGTTCTGTTCAGGACCGGTTCTGCTACGTTCAGCCGCTTCATTCATATTCTGTTTGCAGAAACAGAACAAATAGAAGTGTGTGAATGACTGAGTATCCGCTCTGTTTATGGAGCCGTGGGAGTTTGTTTATTCAGAGCGCTGTGATGTGGTTCTGATCCAAACAAAGGCTCTTCTGTCTGGGCTGCTGGCACCGACAGGACAGAAGGTCCTGTGTTGGTCTGACTGGATTATGAGGAAGATGATGGTGGCAGCTGGTTATGATGAAGACTATGGTCCAAACCGCCTCCCCATCGGCCACAGACCATGCAGCAAGAATCAGAACCGTTCAGGCCCGGCGGTCCTGATGCAGAACCAGGGTGGAGAACTTTACGGCCTGAAGAAGAACCCTGAATGAACCAACATCAGATTAACCACCTTCAGTCACTCAGTCAGAAATTATTCCTGATTTACGCTTTATTTCCAAACATCAATAAAAAGTTCAAAGCGACATAATCCTGCGATGGACTGGCAACCTGTCCAGGGTGTACCCCGCCTCTCGCCCATTGACTGCTGGAGATAGGCACCAGCACCACTCGCGACCCCAATTGGGACAAGCGTGTAAGATAATGGATGGATGGATGGAAAGCGACATAATCTAGAAAAACCAGTTCTGATGTCTGATAAAAGATGGAGTGTTGCGTTCCTTTGTGTTCCATCTCTAACCGGGCCGACCCAACAGGTACCGGTGCTGAGATCTAGCTTAGACCAGTGGACTGCAGGGCAGAGAAACATTTCTATACGGAAGAAAGACGTAAACTCAGTGGGATTAAACGTCTAATTAAAGCAGAGAGAAGTAAAGTTCTGGAAAACTAACATTCAGGAAAAGTTCAGTAAAATAAAGTTCAGGAGAAGTAGCTTTGGCAGATAGATGAAAAGTAAAACTAAAGTAAATTACTGCCAGTAAAGTAAAATAAAGTCAAAAGAAATGCAGTCACATCAGATCCCATAGAGGGGACTGGGTGCTGGACTGGTTTGTAGTTCAGATCCCAGCAGAACCTCTGGGTTCTACCACAGACCACAGAAGTTCTGGCTGAGCTCCCACAGCTTCCTGGCTGCAGCCGGGTCTCTGGCCTTGGACTCCATGTCCGTCCGTGGCCTGCAGCACCTGAAGAAGTGACCGCTGAGGGGTTCGATGCCTTGCTCCAGGGCACAGTGGAGAGTGGTCTGAGCTCCAGACTCTGGATCCATGAAGAACAGGAGGACGACGGGCGCCACCAAGACCTTCATCCAGAATCCAAGGTACCGACCCAGTTCTGTCCGAATGAGTCCTGCAGAACCAGAAGAAGAAGTTGAGCAGACGGCCACCCTGCAGAACCTCCGAACATCTGCAGAACATCTGCAGAACCTACAAACGTCTGCAGAACGTCTGCAGAACGTCTGCAGAACCTCTGACCTGGATGGAGGCAGTAGCAGGTGACCTGGCTGCCCTGCAGCCTCCTGGACAGCTCCCAGGTGAACAGGATGTTGCACAGCTTGCTGTCGCAGTACTTCCTGTAGGTCTGCCTGAAGCCGCAGCCCTCAGCTGAATCCCTGAGGTCCACCAGGAGGCTGAAGTCCAGCTGGCCCCGTCCGTAGGAGCTGGAGGCCACGGTGACCACGCGGCTCGGCCCGCTGGCCTTCAGCCGCTCCAGAAGCAGCAGGGTCAGCAGGAAGTGGCCCAGATGGTTGACCCCGAACATCAAGCCGAAGCCGTCGTCCGTCTGGCCGTCTCTGAGGACACCTGGAGACAAAGACCATCACCTTCACCTCCAAACCCCCGCTGGTCTGATCCCTGAACCCCAGCTGAGTTCTGACCCGCATTGTTGATGAGCAGATCCAGCCTGGACTCGGAGCGCAGGAAGTTCTCAGCGAAGGTCCGGACCGACAGCAGGCTGGCCAGGTCCAGCTGCATGAAGAGCACCTGCTGGTTCCCCGTCTCCTGCCCAGAAACCAGACATCCATCAGAGCGGCTCCTGGCCCTCAAAGGATCACAGACGACCTCCTCCCATTACCTGGATGATGTCATGGACCGCCGCATCGGCCCGCTGTCTGTCCCTGCAGGCCAGGACCACCCGGGCCCCCCTCCTGGCAAGCTCCAGCGCCGTGGCCTTCCCGATCCCACCGCTGGCTCCTGAAACAGGAAGAACATCAGCTTAGAGGAAGCAGGTCTCTGAAGGAGCTGCTGCTGCTTTACTGGGAATCACTCGGAAAAATGGTTATTCCTGCAGCTTCCAGACACCTAAACGCACCACGGCCTCTCTGCTTCTGGAATGTTCAACATCTCAGCAGCTTTAAGAGAAACCTCAGAACCAAGGAGAAAAACCTGCAGAAGAAACGAGGAACCAAACCGGCTGAGAGGAGGAGAGCAGGAAGGTTAGACGTAGATAAACAGTAGATAGAGCAGAACATGGTGACACTGAGTCCAGAACAAGCAGCCGGGCTCAGATTAGATCCCGTCTGTTTCTGCATCAGTCGGACGCTTCATAAGGTAAACAAACTGTTTTTATCAGAGGAGTTAAGATGTTTCTGCAAAGCAAATATGGTTAAAGGACCAAAAAAAAACCTGAAGCAGCTGCAGCTCCGATCCTTTCTACTCCAGAATCCAGATTTTAACCGTTTCCAGGATTCTGGGATCATTTTGAATCCTTTTCAGTATAAGAAGCTTAATGACTGCAGGTAAACATTCAGAGCAGGAACCACCTGGAGTCCTGACCAGGATCTGACCCGGAACCTCCAGGTTCCACCTCTGGGACCTCTGAGGAACACCTGCAGGTGATCCAGGTGTTCAACTGGAGACTGGACCGGGCAGCAGAAGAACCTGATGCTATGGAGGGAAATAAAAGCTGGAGATAAACATGTTCCCTGCAGGAAGTGGCTCAGATGGCAGCTTTAGCTTTAGTTCGGTAAACCGGTGACAGAGAAGTGATCCTCTACTGGTCATACTGGTCCCAGTGGTTCTCCTCAGAGCTGCTCCACTCCAGAAGGACCTGAAAGAACTCACCTGTGATGATGGCGGTTTTCCCATGAAGCTTTGCGTCGCTCTTACACCTGGGCAGCTTCAGGACCGTCTTTCGCAGGAGGAGGTAGATGGCGGCGAAGAGACCTCCGAGAAGGAGGGTGATCATCCTGGATGTGAGGACGGAGGAGAACGTCTGGATGGAGGCATCTGATCCTCAGACTGAGCCCTGAGGGAGGAACCAGGAGGAGCTTCTCTGAGAAGGAGGAGGTTCTCTCTCTGTAGGAGGAGGTTCTCCTTCATCAGGAGGAGGTTCTCTATCTGTAGGAGGAGGTTCTCTGTCGGTAGGAGGAGGTTCTCTCTCTGTAGGAGGAGGTTCTCCTTCAGCAGGAGGAGGTTCACTGACAATCAAACCTCCTTGTTTCTAATATTTCTTCATTTCCATCCAGTAGTTTTTGTTTCATGGTTTTTAATGACTTTGTTCTAATTTAGCTCCATAAAATCTAACCAGATGCTGAGAAACGAGTCGATAACGAGTCTCTGAGTGACGCTGAACACAGACCTGCAGCGTTTAGTAATTATGGACTCAATAAAGTCTGACATAGAAAAACCAGTCAATTCTATTCAGTTTATTTCTATAGCTCCAATTCCCATCATGTCATCTCAGGTCACTTTCCAGTTCACCAGATCATCCAGTCAGATTGATTCAAAGTTTTCTATCTAAGGAAAACCAGCTGATTGCATCGACTCATTGACTCTTCAGCAATCCCTCACTCTAAGCATGCTTGTAGCGACAGTGGAGAGGAAAAACTCCCTTTCAACAGGAAGAAACCTCCAGCAGAACCAGGCTCAGTGTGAGCGGCCATCTGCTGAGGCCCACTGGGGTTCAAGGGGACAGAAGCAGACATAGAAAAAGAAGCATAGATACAAAAGGCAACTGTCAACCAGCTCCACAGGCGGCCCCGTCCAGGAAACACACAGCCAGGCAGACGAGCTCCGAGCCAGCTCCCATGTCATTCTCTTGTCAAGACTTAATAATTAGACTGGTAAGTTAACACTTTACTCCTATTTTTTTAAAGTTTACTAGAAGCATAATACAGGCAGTTACAGGTCTAGCGCCCCTAGTGGCCAAAAGTTACACTGCGTTCCATTAAAGTATAAAAGTTCAACTAATGCAGGATAAACTGTTCAGGCCAGAAGCTTTACTGCTCTACTCTGTTAAAGGAACTTTTTTCTACAATTCTGGATGATAACTTCCTCAGACTTTATTTGATGGTAACAGCATCACATTTAACTTTGAATCATCTTAAAAAACGATTTATTTTAGTATGTGGTGAGCAACAAGTTGGGGCAGCACCGAGTCCAACCACAGAGAGATTAATTATCTGAGTGAAACTAATTATTTTGATTGTTTTGATTTTTTTTAAACACCAACAGGCCAGAATGAAAATGAGCTTAATTGAACAAAACTAACGAGTCTATTCTTAAAATGTGAGGAGAAGAAGGAAAAAATAATAACTGCAGTAAAATATAGATCCATCATTCCTACTGCAGTAATGAAAGTATTTCTACTTTGTTACTTGATGCCTCTGATTATACAGTAGAGTGGAATGAAAATATTAAAACTGTGTCTAATTACTGACCAGCTCTTCTTGGTCCAGAAAGGTTCTTCAAAGTTCTGCTGATGATCCGTTGGTTTGATGTAAGGATTTGGATCATAGACGCGTCTGAACACTGAATCAGAGCAGGAAGTGATTCATTAATCAAATCATTGTTCTTAGTTTGTCCAATCAGGAGGTCTGAGGTCACCAACTGGATTCATTGGTTCTGAGTTATTCTCAGGTAAACCCAGACTGTGAATGTGACCCCTGAACCGGACCTGCCAGGCCAACCTGTAGATGACCCAATAATCTGGGTCAGACTGGGATAAAGTCTCTGATTAAACCTGTTTTATCTTAAAACCTCAAACTGAGTCCTGAACCTTTGGTTCCGTCTGGACCAAAAGCACTAGAACCGTCCCTGGAACCCAGAACCTTCCTTCTTCCTCGTCTCCACTCGCTGATGGTGGCGTCATACTCCGGCTTTATGGTCAGGAGGAGCCTCCGATTGGCTGCTGCTCGACCAACCGCCTGCAGGAAACACGTCTGGCTCACTGATCTGTTTATCTTTGGACCTTTTCAGGCCCGGTTCTGCTCCATGAGACTGAAGCAGCAGGAGGAGCGTCTGCTGAGGATGGAGAGAATAGAACCGTCGCTCTGAAAATGATCAGTTATTGCTTTTCTCTCCAGGAGATCCAGCAGAACCTTAATGTCCTTCATCTTCTTCTGATGTGAAAACAATCAAAAACGGGCAGAAAATCTGCTGATAATCTGGATTCTGATGTTCTGGACCAGACTAAAGCAGGTTCCCTTCTAGAATGTTCTCCAAAACTTTAAACATCTCCCAGCTCTCTGTTCATGGAGAGAAGAGGAACCAACCAAGACATGGACATCCACCTGAACGGATGAGGAGAGCATTGGCCAGAGGAGCAGCCTAGAGGAGCATGGTGACTCTGGAGGAGCTGCTGAGCTCAATCTGACCTTCATGGAGGAACACTGAGCTGCTGAAAGAGAGACAGATGTTTGCAAACCTGGTTGGAGACACAGCAAACATGGAGGAAGGAGCTCTGATCAGAGGAGGGAACGTTACGTTTTTAGCAATACATGCAAATGGTGAAGGTGGGTGGAGGCGGTATTATGCTGTGGGACAGGAAGGTGGATGGAGATAAATCCAGGAGAACCCTGGAAGCAGCAGACCTGAGACTAGGCTGCAGGTCCACCCTAACCATCAGAGACAATGGCCTAGTCAAAGTCCAGACCTAAATCCAACTGAGATTATCTGACAAGAGAATTCTGCATCTGGCTGAACCTTGAAAAAACCTGCAGATAAAGACATGTTATAAATAAAACTTTAAAGGTTTTATCTTCATGAATTGATAAAAACAAAGGATAATTTTCAGTTCTACTGCCCTGTTAATCCATCACATTAAACCCCAATAAAGAGCAGTCAGGTTTGAGGTGGTAGAATATATGAAATAAAGTGAATAAACTGAATAAACAGGAACGAAACAGAGTCAAGTTAATTTAGCACAAATTTAAATCCAAACTAAAAAATCCCTCCGAAAAGCCCAAACAGCTATTAATCCAGATTAGGGAAAAGGCAGGAATATGGAGAATTAAGGGGATTATTCACAGCCTTCGTTTATATAAAAATCTGAATATATAATCCGACGGGATTATAAAGGAATATACTTCTTTTTATGGACTGATTTATTCATGTTGCAGCTTTAACCTTCTGATGAATGTGATGTTTAAACGTTTTAGCTTGTTGAAGGCCGCTCATCGGCGCCCTCTTCTGGACACCGCAGGTACTTCTTCTCCTGCCTGATAAACTGGTAAAGAGATAAAATAAACTTCTTATCGCTCTCATTCAGCTCAGCTTCGCTGATTAAACTCATTTCTGGGCTTTGACTGTTTTTTCTCCATTATTCATATTTTCATTCTTCAGCTGGATAAAAATATGTAAGCTTTTATCTACGCCAGCAACATAGCAAACAACTGGTTACCATGGTTACCAAGGACCTCGAACTGAAAAACTGAAAGTTTATGATTGTTTGTGTTTCTTTATTTATAAATATTCTCTCAATTTACATATACGTATTTAGCGCCGAAATATATGATTTAATATTTTTTATCTAATTAATTTTAATCAGGCAGAAGGACGGCCAGCTGCTCCCTGGAAACGCATGTAGGAAACCCCGTGCGTTTCCCTGTGAGGTCCTCTTCTCAGGATCCGCCATTAGGAGTGAGCCGGTGGTAAGCTCCGCTCTGACTTATTTTTCCGTTTTTAATCAAAAATAATCATTTTATGAATAATTTCCTCCCAGATTATGCTTTTATAATCAAAGTGCGTGTTTTCCCCGCAGGTGGACCAAACCCCACGATGCAGATATTCGTGAAAACCCTCACGGGGAAGACTATAACCCTCGAGGTAAGCGTGATGGAGGAGCGATGCGTTCAATGACTCCTGTATCTTTTCAGAATAACAGTTAAAGTAAAGTTTTAAGTCCAGTGCTCTAAAAGCGAACATAGCGCCCTGCTTAGTGGTTATGAACGGCTAGCCTGAAGCTAAGTGGCTAATGAAATTAAAGCTAACGCACAGTAAACACGTGGGGAGCTCATTGAACTCAGCTCTAGAGCTAATCTACTGTTTTTAGGTTATAATCTGATAAGAGGTGAAAAATAATCTGGTTTGTTTTACAGGTTGAGCCTTCAGATACCATAGAAAATGTCAAAGCCAAGATCCAGGATAAGGAGGGTGAGTTTCACTCTTTCTCCTAAAATCATGGAATGCACTGAGATTTCAACATTTCATGAAGGCCACTGTTTTTATAACTGTTTAATGTTTCTAATCAGGGAAAGCTCCCTGAAAAAGTAAATGATCGTTTCATATATTAAAGTTAATTATCTTAATGCGTTTATTTAAATTAATAGCAGTTAAGCAGCTCTGGCTAAATGAGGAGCATTGAACTGTTCGTATATCAGGCATCCTGCTGCTGTCCTGCAGGTTTCAGAGGGTTTCTCTGCACCAGCAGCTGATTTTAATTGATAGTTTATTAACAGTGTTTTGCTGCAATCATCAGAATCAGCTGTGCTGAAGCAGAGGAACCTCTAAAACCTGCAGGATAGCGGCCCTCGGGACCCACTTTAGGGACGCCTGGTATATTAAAGTGTTTATTACATGAGGCTCTCTGCGTATAAAACGCCAAATCACTGAAAATGGCAACACAATCTAACAGCTCTGAGAATCTAAAGACTGAGGTCTTTGCAAGCAGACCTTAGAATTTAATCAGTTATTTCTATTTGGTGGAAGCTGTCTGAAGTTTATTGTTACCTCAGACCAGTTTAAATGAGCTTCAGCTGCTGCCGTCCTCCAGAGGCTCTTAACTGGCGGCTCTGGATTCTCCTCCACTCTAAGTACCTGTTCATCTCCTGAGCTTCGGCAGAGGTCTGTTAATGGTTTGGGCTGTTAGAACATGAGAAGGGGGGATGATGGTGCTTCTTTAGTTCTGGGGCTCTTTGGACCCCTCCAGTGACTCTTATTAGTGGCTAACAGTTGTATAAAGAGCTA